TCCATCTCTCTTAAGTCTGCGCTCTAAGCTGAGCTTCCAGACTTCTTTCAAACTTGCAGACTTTATAGCCAATAAAAGAGACAGCATATCCAAATATTTCATTGTGAACAATAGAAAGGCAATTCCCTCTTAATCAAGTCCTTATGGCACCAGTCTGTCTTATAAGCATTCTCATGGAGCTGTAAAACAGCAGGAATTTTGACCAAGTAAAGACAGAAACGTTGAGGAACATTCCCTCATTTGACAGAGGGCAACTGATCATTTCGAAAGTATTTTTCTGTATTAACAGTTTAGTGTACCATCGTTTACCATGCACTCCATGCAAAGTACCCCCTACACAGCTGTGAATAGTCTGAAACAACTAAATATTAATTAGTCTCAACACAAAGAAAAATCAAGGGGAGAATATGAACGCACGTTCCTGCCTGTGTTTCAAGTCCCACAGACTGGATCCTAAGCCCTCCTGTGATTAGACAGATCTCAAACCAAAGGAAGGGTTATTTGGGGAGATAGGAAGGGACTCACAGGGGTGTCTGAATTCTCCTTTCTGCYTCAACTCTTATGCCTTGAACCCCTCACTTTAACCATAGATGCTGAAATTTTAGAAATAATTGCAAAGCCTTAGGTATTTGTTTTTAAATATAGGGACCATRCCATATTTAATGATCGCTATATTCTCAAGAACTTTTCCTTTCCTCTGCACAGGAATAACGAATGCGTTAGCTTTGGAGCTGTTTCCGAGAGATGCTCAGACAGCCACACAAGTCATTTTATCACAAAGCAAAGCAGATAGGAAACGTACCTTTAAAACCTCACCTGCCCCCGGCCAGAGTTCTGGAATTACACGCGCCTTTTCTCTGCTTTCCTTCTAGTGAGCATCACCCCCAGCTCACTCGCACGCTCCATYTTCCCGCTGAGAGACTTTATCCTACATAACTCGAGGGCTGAAATGTGAACGCCTGCCAGCGTCTTTTCCTGTTGGAAGCCAAGCAGTTTGAGAGCCCCCCTTTCCCAGGCCACGTGAGCACATGCAGTAAATCAGGAGAGAGGAACGAGACAACCAGAAAGAARGAGGAAATTCACTCAAATATCTGTGGGCTCTGGGGCTGCACCAGGGGAGCGCACGGTTAAAGCCGGCAGCTCGGCGAGCCCATGCTCTCCCATGCTGACAGCCCGCTTGCACAGCTGAGCTTTCCCATCTGCTGCCCCGGCCGCAGCCTGCCTCCTCCTCCTCTTCCTCCTCCTCCCCTTGGGCTGAGCTGTGCTGCCCAAGGGGCTGCTGCGGAACAAGTGCTGGTGCAAATAAGACCCTGTGCCTGTTCTTGCTGCTGGGCTCTGTGACCCTAAGCTAGCCTTAAACACATCCCGTGGCAGCCAGCACCCCTGGGCTCTCCATGCAGCCCAAGGCAGTAGTTCTCAACCTCCAACTTTGTATTAAGAGGGTGCAACGAGSCCTGCTCAGACAGGAGCTCTTGCTACTGGCTTTGCGCACAAATGCCTGCAGCAAGGATACTGCTCCATCCTTCATCAAATGCCCAGGACACTCCCTAAGCAGGGAAAAGAGTCAAGAGCATGAGAATGTTTATTTTGCCATGATAACAAACCCAAATTGTTGTTTAGATTCGATGTTTTCCCTTCCAGATGCACTTCTGATCCTTACAGATGCTTGCGGTAGCTACTCTGCTCTAGCAGCGCCTCAAGAGCTGCTCAGATCCTCGTGCTGGCTCTGTGTCTCCTGGCAGGAAAGAGATGTGCCCTGGTCAGTAGGACAACAGGGTCGCACCTTGGGCTGCTCTCCTTCTCCCTGACAGGCTGTAGAGCCAATTCCCTATATCATCCCACCTTTACACTCCAAAGCTCCAGTTAGCCACGTGCAGGTATTTTCCCCCTCCTACTTCCATCGGTGTGCTGTCAGCAYGGGAAATGGCTGGGAAAGAGAAGCCAATACGGATGCCCAAGCTGTCCATGCATGAGCCTCCTCATGCCACATGATGCTGTCACCATGCTCTTTCCCTGGTTCATCCCATTTCCAGGGCCCAACTCCTAAACCAAATAAATCCCCCCTGCGTTTGCTGCATCAGGGTTCAGCACAGGGCAGATGTTACACAGAAGAAGAGTCCTCAGGCTCCTCACAGTTGCTCTGCTTGGAGAGTTACCAAAGCGGGGAGTTTTCTCTGCAAAAAGACTTGATTGGTGTTAAACTGTGAGGAGGTGGGGCTTTCTGGRATGCACAAATTTGGAGAGGGATTTTATGCATGTCTTTTATTCTCCCAATGGAGCGCTAGTGCCCAAAGCATCTACAATGCTTACCTTGGTGCACTAGGGTCTTCACAGYCCTCTGTGCAACATCAGTTTTGATAGTGGGTCTCTCTGCCAACCAAATGCTTCAACCAGGAAACAGAACTGTTGCTATTGATTGCTATTTTATCTTCTTTCCTGGATCCATGACTTCAGCTGGAAGCAGCTATGGGGGATCACTGGTTTTCCACCCCCGGGTGCAGAGCACGGCAGAGGCAGCGCAGAGGAAACAGGGACGTCCCATCGGCACAGAGCGCAGAGCAGAGCTTTTCCGAGGCATTTACTTTATGAGTTGTTTTTGCCAAGCTGACAGCACTGCCAAGACCGTGATTATCCGCCACAACATTGCTTGTTCAAATAATTGGCCTTAAGCATTTTACAAGTTACTAAAAGCGGTAAGGGAAACAAGTGCATAAAGTGACTTGGGAAGTGTTCTGCACCCAGCGCCTCTGACCTCTGTGGCACTCGGCTTGATCCCAGTGGAAAACCAGCAGGCATCGGGGCTTTTCCTGCACTGGATGAACAGGATTTCCAGTGCTCRAAGCCTGCTTTTGATGCACAACATGAATCACATTCAGCTTTCATGAAGCGTTTCCTTTCTTGCGCACCACGGGACCATGCTCCAGGGAGCAGCTGGACTTGCCAAGCCTACAAGAAGCTGTAAAAATCCAACCAGTTTGGTGCTTCCAGGCTCTTGGGCCTACTGGATATRCTGAACCAAGGGGACACTGAGCAGCTGCGCGTTCGTGCTGCACCGCTGCGTTTTAGGGCTGTTGAGCAATATCTGGCAACAAGAAGATCTGAGAACTGCAGGCTTTTGGTCTCTGGAGGTCTCTAGGGTGAAACCAGCTGCAAACCGAGCAGAATTAGTGACAGAATTGGGCTGAAACATGGCAACGCTGCTGGATTTATGGCTCTAAATAAAGCGTGCTTTGTATAAAAATGACAAGGGAACAAGCAATYCATCTTCTTCAGCCTGAGCTATGGAGGTTTAGCTCAAAGAGAGACAGACTGTTGCTGATGGGGGATGCGGAGCAGCTCACTCATCCCTGCAGGGACTGGAGACGAGGCTGTTGCGCAGGGACACGGGAGCAACGATGGGAAGAGCTGGTGTCCTCTGCTCAGCCACAGCAGGAGGCTGTGGAGATACCAGTCATGGAAAAGGCTGCTCCAACACGGCAATCCTGGGATAACCTTCCCATTCAAGGTGGGAGCAGAGACCAGACTTCTTAGTGGCCCAACCTGYACCCTCCCCCAGGACACAAGCCACCAGTCACCAGTTTGCCTCCTGCCAAAGCCACAACACTGCTGCTCTCGGGGTGAAAAGCCGAGCTTGGGGCCTAGCTTGCTTGCGGCAAAGCCTGTCTAGCTAAATAAATGATGTTGTTTACAGCTGGAGGATGATCCTTGTTACACAACACTGTGGTCCCAGCCAAGCTTCCAAGGAGAAGCTGTTCTTCAGGGGGTCATTGCTTGAAAAAAAATGAAGAGGAAAACAGAACTAGTTGAGGCCAATGCAGTGATCTAATGGCACAGGAAAACCTAAGTTGCTTTTGCAGAGAAAAAAAAAAAGGATTTGCAAGTAAACTCACCTAATTCTTACTTCCCTTTGGGTGCAGGGCATGTTGGCAGAACTGGCAGACAGCGTAGCACCATGGTAAGATGCAACAGGGAGAGGAAATCCAAATTTGGAAAACATCAAAAGAAAAATATTGAGGCGGTACAAGAAATCAAAAGCATGGAAATGCCTKGAAGGAAAGCGAGGGCTGAAAGAAGGTACTCTAGACATATCAAAAATTAGAGATCTCCAACATGAAAAAGAAGGGCAAAAACAAAACATTGAAGGAGAGATTGAGAAAGCAAGAGCCATAATTGTGTCAGCGGTTACTCTCATGGCACATGGTCTGCAAGGCCCAGGTCTACTTCTCTTGGAGCCATAAGCAAATAATCAGAGTGCTGACCACCAGTCCCTGGTTGCCAGGTACGTTAATGAGCCCAGAGGCTCATCATATCTCCTGCAGGATTAATACAGTGAAGGAGCAAGGAGAGCATGGGAATCTGAGGAGRACTCAGCAATGTTCTCTCATAGATTGAGTCACTTGCTTCTTTCCAGAAGGCAATACCTACATGAGAAGAGTGAATATGCATAGGGTCTTGTAAATGAAAATGGATAATTTCCTTTATGCTCTGGATATGGGATGAAAAACATACAGGGGTCCAGCGGTTTGATGGCACCATCAACCTGAGGCCAGCATGGCCCCAGTGCTCTCATGTGCTCCATTACTGCCCTAGGGAAGGGAGCACCTGCTTTGCCTGCATCCTAAGAYATTTCCAAAGGAGACAGAGAGCCTGGCCTGGGAGAGCTGCCCACGGACAGATCCTGCATTTAAAGCTCACAAACTCAAAGTTTGTGCTTTGGGCTGGAACTCCGCACATGGAGCTGAGATCCTGCCCGTCTCCMAGCAATGCTCTTTACAGCACAGCGGTGCTTAATCAGCTCTTATCCGCCTAAAGGCTTTATCCTCCTCRGTCTGCGGCGGATGCAACCAGCTAAACCGACCCTCCGTGTGTCAAAAACAGCCCAGCTCTCCTTGCTACGCTCACGGCTCACCTACCCAAAAGGTAGGAGCTCGTTTTGTTTTTTTGCCTCCTCCTCTAGTGCCTCCCAAGCATTAGATGTGGGCTCTGGCTCGTGGCTGGTCATGTTCCTCCTTGCCATGTTGGTGTTTTTCTGTGCAGCAAAGGCTGCACCGAGCGCCAACGTCTCCACTCCGTGCCCACGCGCGTGCAAATGCGYGCCCGAGACGGTGACGCGCTGCAGCAGAGCCGGGCTCAGCGCCCTGCCCGCAGAGCTAGCTGCCTCCACCGTCTCCCTGAACCTCTCGCACAACTACCTGCGGATGCTGAGCCCCAACGCCTTCGGGAACCTGACCTCCCTCCACCGCCTCTGGCTAGACGGGAACAGCCTGACGTTCCTGGCACCGGGAACCTTCCTGGCTCTGGGGCAGCTGCGGGAGCTGCACCTCGGCGGCAACACGCGCCTCACCTCCCTGCACCCCAATGCCTTCCGCGGGCTGCGAAACCTCACCAGCCTCGACCTGTCCCGCTGCAACATCTTTGAAATCCACCCGCTGCTCTTCTCCCACCTGCCCTCCCTGGAAAAGCTCAACTTGGCCTCCAACAACATGCGCTATGTCCCGCAGGCCTTCGGGAACCTCTCCAACCTCGCCACGCTGTCGCTGGAGGGAAACCACATCGAAGCGGTGGGACGAGAGTCCCTGCGGGACCTGGGTGCCCTGCAGGAGCTCAACCTGAGGAGGAATCGCATCTGGACCATCCAGGCGGGCGCCTTTGCCAAGCTCCTCCGGCTAGGAGTGTTAAATTTAGGCCACAACCACATCGCCCATTTGCCTAATCGGCTTTTTGACAGCTTGATCCAGCTCAGAACCCTGCACCTGGAAGCCAACAGGCTCACGGGCATCGGCTGCACCTTGGGACAGCTGCCCAACCTGAGGAGCCTCTACCTCAACAACAACCAGCTCTCCTCCCTGGCCCGCTCGGCCTTCACCCGCTCCACCAAGCTGCACTTGCTCCACCTCAGCAAGAACCASCTCAGCTCCCTCCCCGCCGGCCTCTTGGCCAAGCTGCCGCGCTTGAAGCACCTCTTCTTGTCCCACAACCCCTGGCGCTGCGACTGCCGCCTCTTCTGGGCCTTGCGGCGCCCCGCGGGCTCCGTGGAGGGCCTGCCCTGCACCTTCCCACCAGCCGSCCTCCTCCATGCAGACGACTTCGCCAACTGCCCCCTGCCACCGAAAGCGGCCACCGAGGACGAGTGTGGGGTGGTCGGTGGGGCCCCAGGGCCATGCGGGCACCCAGTTGGGCTGCTACCTGCAGCGCTGGCTGCTCTGGCATGGGGCTTGGTGGGCAGGAGTGGCACCRGGATGGCCACGCTATGACAGCACCAGGGTATCAAAAGATGTTAATGAACATCTGCCCTGTCCCAAAATACATTTTCTGCTGAGGTGGGGGTCTCAGGAAGCACTGGGACAATCCCACAGGACCTGGCTGGACAACAGTGGAGTGTATTTCTTAAATACACTCACTTAAATTCACAAGAATTACACTGCTTTTCTTATTCAGCAATTGTCAAGGGTAACAACTTCCACCTATTTAGAGGGCAAAGGTAAAGTTTTTYTAAGCAGTTGTACCTCCTTACTGCCTCGTCCCAGTGTTGTAGTTCCCAGAGCACTGAGGCCCTCCAGTATTTGCAATTCCCACATCTCCATAACACAATCTCCTCCCAGCCCTTCCAGATGTTGAGCAGATCACACAAATCCCATGGCCTATGATCCATGCTCGGTCCTGGGCACTGCTCMTTGCAATACCCAGCATTTGCCCCTGGATGGCACCAAATTCCAGACTAACCGCTAGGATTGCRCGGAAAAGACCAGCCCTAGCAGAGCTTTGAAATTCGCCATGGGCTGGAGAGCATCCCTATGCATGGAACATGAGGAAAATTGCAAGCAGCAAGAGCAATTCTCATTCCCCTGTAGCAGGCAGGCCACCAGTACCTCGAGGCTTTGGAGAAACTCTACACATATTGGGGTCAAGCTATGTTTCTCACCAGATCCTGGGTCAAGAGGCTCTCTGGCCTCAGATAGCCAAACTATGGCTCTCATGCAACAGCAGTTTCCACTTTACGAGCTGCACCACAGCACACTCGCGGTAGCAGCACATCAAGCAGCAGCAAGCCTCATGCCTGCACCACAGATAACTGCACTAGCAGTCACAAGATGCCTGCATACCTCCCTGCCACACCACCCTTGAGCCAGAGCATCAACGACTGTGCCAATGTGACTGCATTTAATTACCCAAAATATCCAACAAGAGGAAAGGAAGAGAAGATGTGTGACACTTGCCAGCAGCTCCAGCGTTTCCAGCTAAGGCCTGCTTCAACAGAAACTGTTTTCTGCTCCTGTTCCCAACTGCAGCTTCTCCTGGAGGAAAAGATCATGGAAAGAGGTGCCTCCCACTTCTKGCCACATGAATTACTTTGGTTATTAAGCCATATAACCATGCAACAYGCTCAGGGACACCGAGAGCTTCAATATCAGAACAGAGCTCCTTCACAGCAGCAACACCGTAGGATGATTTGGAGCATGGGATGGAGAATATGGTCACTTGGTTCCTGCAATCTCCACCAAGCATTTCACTCAGAATGGGTGAGAAGTTTCAAGTGATTGAACCTGAAGGCAGTGCTCCACCTCCTTCACTATTGGCACCATGTTGGGCAACACACAATGTGTTCATCGGCAAGCTCATCCCAGTCCTGGCAGCAGACAAGCTGCAGCCTGTCTCTTGGGCAACACACACCTACTTGTTTTCACTGCCAAAATCATCACCACTGTAGACTGTAGCTGCAGACAGGGCAGGAACAGAGGGCCAKCCACGCAGTGAAGTTCGCTGAGGTTTGTTTGCATGACACCAAACCCATGTAAGTTGTCCCAACGGTCCTGTGGTTTCCAGGCACGAGGCTGAACTGCAGCCCCACGGTGCAAGCAGCAGTTTTTCCCTCCTGTGCTCCCAGCCTTTGCTGCAACTGGGACACCCTCCGTGCACAACCCCACRAGACACTTGAAGACACCAGCATAAGCAGCAATGATTTCAGGAAGAGCTTATAAAAGCCAGTCTGCCAGAAATATAAGCTGAGAATAACTGCACCGCAGCACCCGTTTTAATAGCCACCTTTGCAGACTGCTTGTGCAACTGCTCGAGCACGCCACAACTCGAGGCGATTGCACAGCTCAGCACACCTAGCGCAAAGAAATCAAGATCAAACCAAGTCCAGCCAAAAGCAAATGAGCTTCGACCTGACAGTAATTGCTAAGTCAATGTAAATAAGGAGGAAAACTTGTATTTAAATGTTCTTTTTATTTCAACTAATGCTTTGCCACCATATTACATCACTTTGAATAGCTCAGAATAGCAATATGATCTCAAAATATAGCAAACAGCTTGCCAAAGCAAGATAATATTAACTCCTAAGGATACAGCATCTTCCTTCTTTGGTGACAACGCTTCCTTTTATCTGTAAAAATATTTTTATGTTCCTCCACATTTGCTGTTCAGTTTATTGAACCCTGCTGCTTATAACATTTGTCTCTTCCCCACACAAAACCTCCCCATAATGAATTATGGTTTTATATCCAACAGCATTTTAAATAAAAAAAGTTATAGTTTTCATGCAGTTTTTTGTAAAAATTATTTTCTAGGTGCACTCAACTGAACCAAGATGCATACAAAAATGCATTCACTTTCACCCTCAGGTGCAACYGTGCCATCAGCAACATGATATCATGAGTTACTGCAAGAGGTCCAAGGATGGTGGTATTCTTGTATATAGTCTAACTTAAAAAAAATACTTTATATAAGCAGTAAGAGAAAAAAAATGCCATGCTTTATCTGTAATCAAAATAGTTAGGTTTATAAAAAAAAGCACCATGTACAGAGAATACCATAAGAAGATCCATCTTCAAAATTATACACACTTCTCATTTAACATCATGAGCTGGCCTGCAGGTCCCAACGTGTACTGTAGCTTTGCTTGCAAAAGTAAGGAAGTGGTCAAACCTAGACTATGCTTGAGCCATGTGATACAAATTAAACTGGATTGCAGACAGAAATAAGATGATGTTTCCATTACAACTCATACCAACCACCTTATGGCCCCTCAGGGGAAAACAAACAAACAAAAATCACGCACCAAGCATCTGAGAAATAACAAGGTGAAAACAGCTCCAGAGCAGTACTGCAAGATGCTGGTCTGTTATGAATGCATTTCTGTGAGCTCTTGATAAGTTAAACGTTCCTTTGGGAAAAGAGCACGTCAGTTGGTTAAAACTCCTCTCCCTGAGAATTTGATAAGAGTTTGTTTCGCAAAGCAAAACAAAGTCCCTTGAACTTCAGCAGTTCCTAGGCCAACAGCATTTCAACGTGGACACAGCTGATCTGCTACTCATGCACCCAGGGTGGCAGGTTGGGTTTTTTTTGTTGCTTTTTGTTATTTTATTTGTACATGGATCAGCCCTTTTATACTCGCTTCATTCCTCTGCCCATCAAGCAGGCAAACACRGTCATGACCATCTTGGGTTTCACTTCCACGAGATCTTCTGGAAGGGCATAAACTCTGGCACCAATTCTCCTCGCCATGGACACAGCATACCTGTTTGCCAKGAAAAGATGAGTGTGTCAGCACTGGTAGAATGCTACTTCTAAATAAAAAACCAGCTCCTCCTCTCTCCTACAGAATTTCCATTCCCACTACTCTCTATTGAGGCTCAGAGAAGGATTCTGTATGTGCAATAGTCCAATCACACCAAATCTATTTGTTTTATAAAATGTATTTTGACCCTTTGCCATGTTCTCTCCCCAAGTACAGGGAAGTGTCTTTAATAGCACAAATTCACCTTTGAATGTCAAGTTCATTTTATCAGCACTTAATAACTGTAATTAATGTTTGCTAGGGCTAATAGTTAGCATGGGTAACCAGGGATTAGTCAGCTAATATTTACATTTTTCACTGTTTGCTTTTTTTGGAATAATCAAGACATACTGCTATCTGCAACAAAAAAATGCTGTTATTCTGCTACTGGAGTGCAACCACAGAAAACACATATCAAAGGTCTGTTTAAATAGTCAGACTTGAGACTTAAAAGCCTGTGATGATTCAGCGAGACAAGAGATGGACAAACCCAGCCCAGGGTTCGATTCCAAAACCCTGAGCTATGGCTGAGCACTTCATATGCCAGAAGGACAAAAAGCAGAATATCATCCCTAAGAACCTCTTGGGCTCTTCTGCATTGCTCTCTGCAGCCTGAAGAGCGCAACAAGGAGAGGAATTGGATATCAAGAAGTGCTGCCTGTCTGAAAGGCATTGGCTTAACAGAGATCGAAAGCCACAGTAATGCAATAAAAACACCTGCAGCTTAAAGTCAGGGCACAGAAGTTAAGCTCTTGATGCAACGCAGCTTTCAAGCTAGCAGACTTACTTAGCATTATTTTGTTTGTCATCTTCTGATAGATGACCAGTCTTTACAAGGTCATAGTTGATACAACCAGGCTGTATAGCATCAATTAAATCCACAACTGCCAAGCTCGTGCTRATAGTCTTGTCCTAGAAGAAAAGATACATAAATATTTGAGGAGACAAGTAAAGATATGTCTAATCCTTAGCACACTTCTCACCTTCATCTGCCTGCTCTGGAATGTGCAATAAAGACTTAAGTGACCTGTTTCAAAGCAGTGCTGCCAGGGATTATTCCCAGCTGGACCACAGGCAAACTAAACTGCTGCTTCTCCTTCAGCAGCACTACCAGCTCATTACTGCAGTTTGAAATAAGGACTGTGAAAAGGCAAAGCAAATTGGCAGGTTTGTCCCACTGACCAGACCCCTAGGGACTTCCCACCCACCAGGGCTCACCAGCTCGAGCCCCTGCACCTGCAGGCAGCACAGCCCCGTCACCCACCCTCGTCATCCACCCTCTGCTCTCCCCATCAGCTGGGCCAGCCCTACTGCTATTCCCCAACACAGGGAGTCCCAAACATCTCTTCTGTAGTAGCTTGAAGCCACTTTGTTGCCAGCACAGGCTGAATTCAGTCCTGTTTTCACTCATTTCTCATGTGCTCCTGCTGTCCTGCAACTGCAGCAGACGTGTGTGGGGCCCATTCCTTGCAAATGCAAGAGGGGAACCTGCACCTTGAAGTTCTGGATGGAGGTGGACTTGCCAGCTTCTTTCAGGGTCCTGTTTACCCAGTTGACTATAATGTCATCGTTTGCTTTTTGACCATCACCAAGGTCCTCAAGCACATTCAGCGTGTACCTGAGAAGCAGAAGAGAGAAACAAGACTAGGTAGAGCTTTAAAAAGTCCTATCTAGCATGCAATAATGAACCACCAT